ATTAAATTCAATAATTATTTGGTAGACCTATCTTGACTGCGCCAAGAATATATATATATATATATATATATATATATATATAGAGAGAGAGAGAGAGAGAGAGAGAAAGAGAATGAGACTTGAGATCATGTGAAATCAAGGGTTTTTCGTGAGATTCGTAAGACCAATTCTCAACCATTGGATTAAATCTACAATCTGACAATCTAAACATTTATAAACGCCACGAGACTTCTCAATAATCACAAAATTGACACCGTGCAACTTTAGACCATTAGATCATTAGTTTATATTTTATAAGATTGATCAATGAACATAAATTGGTCTTACAGGTCTCACGTAAACCCAACCCTATATATATATATATATATATATTCATATGTGGACTTGAGATCATGTGAGACCAAAGGTTTTTTCGTGAGATCCATAAGACCAATTTTCAACCTTTAGATTAGATTTACAATTTAACAATCTGAACATTTATAAACGCCACGAAACTTCTCAACAATTACAAAATTGTCACCGTGCAACTTTAAACCATTAGATAATTAGCTTATAAAATTGATCAATGAATATAAATTAGTTTCCCCTGTCTCACAAAAAACTCTTGATCTCACATGAACTCAACCCTTCATATATATGTGTGTATAGGTGCATAACCAAAGATTTCTTGATTTCAMAATTTAAATAATTAGTTGTGGATAAAAGGAATATATTATTTTTGATAAAAGGCCAAAATTAAATAAACAGTAATTTGATCCTTGTGATTCGTAGAAAATAATTTGTATCCTTAAAATTTTTAAATTACAAAATAACCATCATAATTAAAAAATATATGTATTTGGTCTTTTTTTAACGATCGTTAAAAAGTTCCGTTAATTAAGGAGAATTTTTGTTCTTTTAACYATTTTTTATCTCTTACCTGATAAAAAACTATAGGTACTAAAATCATAAAATTGGTTTTTATCGGGTACAAGACAAAAAAAAAATAAATAAAATGATGAAAATATATCTTATTTAACGTTCGTTAGAGAAGGGGACCAAATTTAGACGTTTACACAAACAATGGTGAATAACTTATAGTTTTGAAACTAAAGGGACAAAAATACTATTTTCCATAAAGTAAAGGGACTAAATTTGTAGTTTATTTTTAAATAAGAGGTTGCTATTAGCCGTGTCATGCTCCACACCCTTGTCATTTNATCTAGTTCTTCCCCTACCATATCACACGGAGGGACCATTTACCAAACACTTACATGTTAAGCGTTTATCGGCAAGAGTCACCACCCTCACTTACCTTATCAAGTAATATTCTTAGCCAYTAAAATGGATTGTTGGTAAGCGCGGGTGCTTCTTACCCCGGAAGCGTTTGGTAAACATCCCTTAAGGGCCATTTGTTATTTCACTTRCCACCTCTTTCCGAGTAAGAGGTGTTCACCCGGTCAGATATGCTACTGTTTACCAAGCCCCTCTTACAGCTCCATGATGTTAACCGAGATGCTGACCTGGTAAGCTAATTGTGGGACTTTTACTTGGTCAGTGATTAATGCCCACCCAAACCGCACTTTTACCTGGTTACCAGTTCGCATCTGGCTATTCCACTTCTCATTTTTGGAAATTCCCGTAACATCATCTTTTAGGTAAACGGCCCCTAATTATTCAAATTCACAACTGAATTTACCCCGTAGCTACAATGACAACCTAGATGTCTTAAAAAACAGCGCTGGCTTGTGATGACAATTTATATATCGAGTGATTTATCACGTACAATGTTCAATAACAATGTGTTTCTGTAACGATTATTTTCAGGGTGCTGAATCCGTAACCATGGACCCCGATGCATCCGTTGACTTGCAGGATCTGCAAGTTAAGGTCAAAGCTATCGAAACTGCCGTGGTTGAGTTGCAGATGCTCTCGATGCAAGAAAAGTTAGATTCAGATGCAAAGCTCGAGTCTGCGATGAAACAGATCGAAGAATTGAGTTATCAAAAGAGTTCCCGAAGAGCAAACGGTAAGCGAACGTCAACATCTGAAATCTCAGAAATAGATGTCGGAATACTTCCGAAAGACATTATGCTGGATCAAGCGTCGGAGTGTTCATCGTATGGRGTTAGCAAAAGAGGACTAATCGACGGTGAGATATGGGAATCTGCCGATAAGCACGGTAGCATCAATATGAATTTTGACGACTCTAAGATCATGTTCAAACACCACCCGACCTCCTCCGATTTGTCGCTTGATAAGGAACTGGACGTCGTGGACAAACTTGAGGTCTCGAGGAGATTCCGGGAGCCTCGTGATGACGGAAACAAGAGAAAAGTGTTGGAAAGACTCAATTCGGATGTCCAAAAGTTGACGAATCTTCAAATCACAATCGAGGATTTAAAGCGGAAAGTAGAGATCACTGGAAAAAGCCGAAGGGGGAAAAGCATGATCGAATGCGAGACTTTAAAAGGACAGCTTATGGAAGCGGAATCCGCCATCCAGAAACTATACGAACTCAACGGGAAGCTCGTAAAGCATRTCGAAGGCAATTCAGAATCGGGAGAAAGCGAAAGCGAAAGCATGAGAAGGAAGAAAGTCTCGGAACAAGCACGCCGAGTGTCGGAAAAGATCGGTCGTTTGCAGTTAGAGGTACAAAAGATTCAGTTCGTGTTGTTGAAACTCGACGACGAGAAAGAATCCAAAGGAAAAACACGGTTTCTCGACACCAAAAAACGCGTTCTCTTGAAAGATTATTTGTACGGCGGCGGAAGACCAAAAACGATAAGCAGTAACAGCAGCAGACGCAAAAATGGTCATTTTTGCGCTTGTGTTGAGCCTGCAACCAAAGGAGACTGATCATTACTGACCAGTCTCTTTTGGTAGAGTTCATAAAGAACACCTTTTTTTCGTCTATAAATTATGAAGTAATCTAGTGTGTGTTTTTTAATCGTCATACTTATGAATAACTTTTGTCGTTTTTTCGGTTTAGAGAGAGCGTAAGAGGCCGTCGTTYCCATATGATCTCGAGAAGCTATTTTTAGAGAGCTTGTTTTTAAACGTCGTGAAATTGTTAAATGAGTCGTTTTTTAATCCTTCATACTTGTCTTTGACCTTTGAACCAATCAAGTTCGACCCTATTCRAGTTTTCGGGCTCGGTTTCGAGATAACCGAGCCCGGTCGATATTTCAAAAATGTCACTAGGTYTGYAAGTGACACTTTCTTAATTTGTGCAAGGGCCAAMGTGTGAAAAGAAAATTAGGTTTTTGAACCAGGTCCGTAAGTACAAGAATCAAATCTATAAATTAGTCCACAACACTTTCAGATATCTTTATCTAATTTACAGATTTGTTCATTGTACTTGTGGATCTGGTTTAGAAACCGTTCTTTTTACATTTTGATCCTTCCACAAATTGAGAAGGTGTTACCTGCAGACCTAGTAATATGTTTTAAATTTGAGGGAAGAAATGGCTAAAAGATAATCCAAAACCTGAAAATAGCTATTTCTGTTAATTTCTCTACTGAGTTCTATTATTTTACAGATTTCTCCATTGTTTAAAGATTTGCATTTTTTCACCTTTTGCTTTCTCTGTTTTAGAGATCATTCTATAACARTTGTTAGAGCAAAACAAGCTCCAAACCTCTATTTAGAGTAGCTATCGAAGATGCAATTATGGTTTTTTTTTTCTGTAATGAATTGATCTTTTAGTTCAAAAAATGCAAGAACAATAAGGGGGTTATTTGGTTTGGTTTTCATTAATTTTTGTACGGATAAAGCTGTATATGTAACTTGAGAAATGATAATGTTTTTGTTTGAGATAGTTTTTTTACAGATAAAATGAGCGTGTTTTTAACTGGAAGGGGCAAATTTGAAAAAAAAAACAATTGATTTTTGCATAAAGTTCTCTCTAAAAGCTTAGTRAGTGAGTTATTTTTTATATAATCGAGTCGCTATCAAACATTCATGTATAACAGACTGAATAAGTCGTAAACTACGTTAAAATTGTTAAGCTGTTATCAARCAACTCCTAAATTAATGTTACTGTAAGTTTATTTTAGATTATCCTTGTTATATCTTTTATTTAATTTTAAAAATAGCAGAATTTTCCATTTTCAAAGAGCATAAAATTAAATAAATTTTAATATTAAAATAAAAATAATTTCCACCGCAAGTTATTGTCTCATAGACATCAATTCGTTACAATAATTATGGACCAACAGATATTTGAAGAATCTATAGAGGCCTTCCAATATCCTCTCTAATTAATTTCCAAAGTATAGAAAACCTTGTCATAAAACTGTTTACTAAATGTTTATTCGGTAGGTGTTTTAGTGGATAATTTTTATCATCGGATGAACATGGCAAGACCCAAGAATCTTACCCGGTAAAAGTGATGATAAAGATAGAGAGTCTTACCGGGTAAGTGAGGGTGACGACTCTTACCCGGGTAAACGTTTACTAGGTAAATTGTTGCATACGATACCATTATTGATGTGTTACAATCTTACATAAAAAAATGAATTAGAGTGTCGACTCCAAACACTAAACATGTAGCGGATAAACATTTAGTTAAATAGCCTCTTAGAGATYCATAGAACTCCGTCTAATTAAATTTTATTTCATCAATTTACTTAAAGTTTTATTTTTATTACATTATCTTAATAGTTTATAAATTTTTTTTATTTATTTCGAATATTTTTTAACTTATTATTAAATTATAATTTTATATTAATGGAACAAATATTGGTTTTTAAAATTATTATTAAGTTGTATAAATACGTTTTTGTTTTAAACATGAATTTACTAAAAGATTGTATTAAAACAATTATTGTAGTGGGTATATTTTTACTAAATTGTAAAAATATATTTATTTTATATGTATTTGATTCACAATGTTTCACGTGTTTCATAGTATATTTTTTTATGAAACGTATCATACTGTGCATTTTTGTTATTTTTATTGTTTTACAAAAGATAGCACATTGTACATCTTGTATGTATATCTGGGTATCATCGTGAATATTGTTTGTAGGTATCACATTATGTATCTTGTGTTAACATAAGATTTATCGAAATAATGTTTGTCGAATAAGATTTGCCGGACAGCCGGAGAGAGGAAAAAAATTTATAATATTTATAAAATCCCTAAAATGTTATTAATTAATATTTTAAATTAAAATTAACAAAAATATTGATTTCATACTTTAACCTTTGATTTATGGTTAAAATTAAATCTTACAGTTATCACAAAGTAATGAGTTCTAGTTTAATTAGACTTTTATATATATATATATATATATATATATTGTATAATAATATTATTTTAAATGAAACAAATATATTGGTTGTAGCGATGGGATCATCGGAAGGAACTCATAATAATTAACATACCACTTTTGCACGTATCTTCATGATTGTATAGGATTGTTTTGTTAATTGTTACACCGACAGACTATGATTGAATATTTTATTTAATTWAATTAATTCCAAATTTAATTTATTTCTCAGCACGTGCGTCCTTATAGAGTCATGTAAAAATAAATATCACTCCCACGTGTTAACCAATAAATTTTCAAAATTGTAATTTTAAATTTTAAAATTTAAATAAATACATTAAGTTATATTAATTCTAACAGCTATTCTGTTTTAAAAATTACTAACAATAATTACATTTTTAAATATTTTATAAAATATTAATCCTTTTCTTTAAAAGTTTAATTTCTAAGGTGTTTTGTTAACGAACATATAATAAAAAGGTAAATAATTCACTTTCATAATAATCATTTTTTTTAAATCTCTGGATTTGAAATTTTAACAGCTTCTTAGGTTTAGTAAGGAGGTATTTGCTAGTTGCTGAATAGTTTGAAGCAGAATAATCAAGTATTCAAAGTGATTAAAAGACTATTATGATATAGTGCAAATGAAATATAATTGTTTGGTAATTATTTATGATAAAATTAGAACGTTGAATGGTTAAGGCATATCCAAAATAAAAAGAAATTTTCTATATATATTGACATTTTTAAATTATGGAGTCGATGTATATTTTTAATATAGATCTTTAAATATATTAATTAACAAAAATAGGGAATCTTTTTTGTATCTATATATAATCTGGTGTTGTTCTTATAGGAATAAATAAATAAGTTTTTTTATTAAATTCAATAATTATTTGGTAGACCTATCTTGACTGCGCCAAGAATATATATATATATATAGATCGAGAGACTTGGGATCATGTGAAATCAATGGTTTTTCGTGAGATTCGTAAGACTAATTTTCAACAATTTGATTAAATATACAATCTGACAATCTAAACATTTATAAACGCCACGAGACTTCTCAATAATCACAAAATTGATACCGTACAACTTTAGACCATTAGATCATTAGTTTATATTTTATAAGATTGATCAATGAACATAAATTGGTTTTACAGGTCTCACGAAAACCCTTGGTCTCACGTAAACCTAACCCTATATATATATATATATATATATATTCATATGTGGACTTGGGATCATGTGAGACCAAAGGTTTTTTCGTGAAATCCGTAAGACCAATTTTCAACACTTAGATTAGATTTACAATTTGACAATCTGAACATTTATAAACGCCACGAAACTTCTCAATAATTACAAAATTATCACTGTACAACTATAAACCATTAGATAATTAGCTTATAAAGTTGATCA